CCCGATGGCTTCGAGGTGACTTCTGCGTCGGCCTCAGGTTCGTCGCCCTCGGCTTCCTTCATGAGCTCAGAGTCCTCCAGGTCTGGCCTCTCAACATCGGGGGGAAGAGGAACGCGGATGTCTGGCTGCAGGGGGGAGCCCGTATGCTGCCGGGTCAAAGTCCTTTGGCTCGATCTTCAAGTGGCGAGCCATCCTCCGGTAGATGAGGGCTTGAGTGAAAAACTCGCCCCCATCATAGTATTGTTTACCCTTTCGGGAAACCCACTCCACGCCAGGCCCATCACACCACTCGTCGACCGAGGACTCGACGACCGAGGACAACCATTGCTTGTGCTCCTCGGACCGCCACCCCCCTGCCAAGAACCCCGAGATTGCGTCCCCTCGGGCTCTCTCGACGGCTTCCACCCTCGCGGCCTCGGCTTCCTTGACAGCTCTCTCCAAGGCCTCAGCTGCGGACCTCTCGGCTTCTGCCCTGCCCCGATCTGCGGCCTCCGCCCGCAGGGTCATCTGCCGAAGGCTCTCCTCCAGCATAGCCATCTGCCGAACAGCGTCTGCATTCTGGCGGATGAGCTCCCGCATCTTGGCCTCCTGCTCGGCCTTGCGAAGGCGCCACTCCTCTAGCCGCCGGGCTTGCTCCCCGAGGGCAATGCAGGTCTACAGAAATAAAGGGGTTAGCGAGGCCAAACATGGTTTCTTAGCTCGAAGTAAAAAAGAAAGAAATAAGCATAAAAGACTTACTGTGAGGGAAGACCGGAGGATCCTGTCCTCGAGGGCTTCGTCTTCATCAGCCCCGAGGGCTACTCTGTCAATCTCGAGGGTGATGCCTCTCAGAAGCGCCCTCGGGTCGGCCGTACCGTTCATCACGGCCGTACCAGCCGGGAGGGAAACCATGAGGACCTCGGAAGATGGCCCCTGAACTCCCGGCGGCACTTTCGCCACCTGCATGTCCTCATTCGCCCCGGAGGCAGGGCCTTCATCAACAATGATCACCGGGGGGACTTTCTTCCCGGCATCCCCGGTCTTGGGCTTCTTGCCCTCGGGATCTCTGCCCGAGCCCTTCCTTTTGGCGGCAGCGGCAGCATCAGCACTTGGGCCCACCGACGGCCCCTCCGGTTTTTTGAAGAAGTCACCGGCGGGTTTTGGGACACCGGCGTCCGTCTCCCTCGGGACCTTGGAGGGTTTTTTCTTCTTCAGGTCTGCAAGGCCTCTGACGTTCATCATTTTCACTGGGACACCTGCAAAAAAAAGGTATGGGGTTAAAATCGAGGGGTTACTGACCGAAGGCACAAAGGATAAAAAGAAAAAAAAACACGAACAAGGTAAGCTATGTGCTAAGATATGAAAACCGAGGGACCTCGTAGACTACCTCCTGTTCCCCCGAAGGCCTCAGCAAAAATGGGGTACTTCTCGTCCGCTTCCCCAATAAATCGGTATCTCCGAAAGCCGAGGGCGTAGAATCCCTTGTCGGCAGTATAGTCTTTGATGGAGACCTGCTTTGTGCGACCCTCCGGGATTTTGGCTATCACCAGGCCATCTTTTTCGAGGGCGGCGCTTCCAACCTTCGGATGCCGACGGAAGCGATCCCGAAGTTCCGCCGGAAATGGGTTCTCAGCAACCCTGACATAGCACCAACGCTCCTTCCAGCCCTTATTGAACGAAGGCGCCTCCGTAAACAGCTTCCACCTGGCCACCTGCTGCAGGTTGGCGAAGCCCTCGGCATTCGCGTGACCCCCTCGACAGAGGTTGAAGCTCTGGAAGAACAAGTCCAGGCTGGGGGTCACCCCTCGGTCCCTACAAAGGTTTAAAAAACCCGCCACGTAGGAGTGGCTATTAGGTGTCAGCTGACAGGGTACCAAGCCAACAAACCTCAGGTACTCCCGGAGGAAGGGGTGCAGAGGGAACCGAAGGCCCATGGAGACCGACAGTACGTGTACTGCAATGCACCCCTCAGGTGCCCGAGAGAGCACATCGTCAACTCCCGGCTCGACCACCACGGCCGAGGGCCCTACATGTAGCTGCGTCACGTAGAGGTCCGCCCTGTCCGCCTTCGACTTTATCTCCAAGGCAGCCGTGTTGAGCCAGGAATACCCCTCCGGCATATCTACGGGCTTCCCCTGATCAGCAGCAATAACCTTCTTCTTCGGGGCAGCTGCCTTGGCCTTCTTCTTCCCGGGGGCCACCCGGATGGGAACTGCATTCAGCGGCTGGGAAGTACTGGCCTCACCAGCACCCCGAGGGGGAAGGACGGCCACAGTGACCTTCGCCCTCTCCTTTTCCTCCTCCTCTTCAGCAACTTGGACGGCGAGGGCCAACTCTTCATCCTCGGCAGTTCGCTCGAATTCCTCCGCCTCGGCCTCGGCCATCAGATCCTTCTGCACCTCAGTGGCGAGGGCTACGTCACCACCATCCAAGGGCTGACCGCTACTGGACTCCACGTCGGAGATGCTTTCGTCCTCCATCGAGGGCGTCCTCGAGATGTCCTGAGAGTCACTCTGGGACGACATTCTAACTCTAGCTCGAGGGTTCGGGGGAACTAAGGTTTCTAGTGAATTCTATCTCCTAACCCGAGGGCACAATGTACAACTATACTAGAAGGAGAAAGGCAGGGAGCACTGACCTCGAAAGCTGAGTTAGGACCGAAGGCTTGAGTTTCTCTCACTAGATTTTTTGGCAGAGCTTCGCTAAGACAACTGAGTTTGCACAACGGGGAATGGCCTTGGCCTTGGGGTATTTATAGGCGATGGAATCCGGTCTTGGGCCTGGATTCCGGGCCTCCGGATGGACCACCATCATTACACACCGCGTCCTCACCCAACCAGTGATGCCGCCCACGGACAGCCAGCCATCACGCGCCACGTGTCCCCCCCAACGGCTATATCCTGACGTTACGTATTCCAACAGCTATATTTCCAACGGCTATATTCTGGAAGCCCCGGGTTTTCTACCTCACTCCACTTCATCAAGGATAGCCTCCGGGTGCACTCACTCAGAAGTGCCCCCGGGGTGTGCCCCACACAGCACATAACAGGACGCCTTCGGGATCACTCCTTCAGGAACCCAAGGCTTCATATCAGGGGCACCCCTCGGGAATTCCCCCTCAGCACTGCAAAACCGGGTAGCCCCCGGGGAGTTGCCTTCATTGACGGATAACCCGTCGCACACAGGTAATGGGAGCCCTCAGGTCTTCATCACCAACTAATCAACAAACAGTGGACCCCCCGGTAACAACGGCATCCCCAGGATATCTTCATCACCTCAATCCAGCAGGCCCTCGATCCCCGGATTGAGGGGCTCCCCTTCGACATCCCCAGGATATCAACGACAAGCCTTCGGCTGATCAATACATGAGCCCTCAGAAAAAGAAGAGCCTTCGGCATTACCGTTATTCTCCATTTTTGACCAAGGTTTGACATTTTCGATTCATCATTGGGGGAATTCGGTGCACTCTTTTTCCCTCATTAGGATTTTTTTCCCCAGGGTTTTTCCTAATGAGGTTTTTAACGAGGCATCCCCCCAAAATGAAACGAAAAACGTCAGCCTTCGGCCCACAACAGCAACACAACTACTCTACTCCTTTTCACCACTTTACAAGTGCCTCAAGGAGTGGGGGACTGGAGGACCCCCTCGAGAAAATCATTAAATTACAAAATTAGTGAAATTCCAACAAACGACAAGGCAAGCCCTCAAGTCCCGACATGTGGGTAACTGAGGGACTGCCTTCGGCAGGGACATAAAAGCAACAACTCCTCACCAACTTCAGAGATCACGATGGGACAACATCAAAGGGCAAGCACAAGTTACTCCTTTTCCCTCAAGTACCTTTCGGCAAAAGGAGTGAGGGACTCCTGATGGAGTATATGGCCCGGGAACCCCCGGCCCACAGACTCCTACTACTCCAGCGAAGGCCCAACAGGCCCAGAAGGCCCAACAGGCCCAGATCACAGCGCCCAGAGTACCAAGCAGCCCGCACTACGCGCCAGGGGTGCCTTCGGCCCCCTGGCCGAAGGCTCTAAAACTCTCACAGGACGGGCTTCGCAAGCAAATTAAGAAACTGGGAGAAAACGGCGAAAACAGTAGCCCTCGGCACTGTGAGCCCTCGGCACCAGAGTGCCATCGGTTGGAGGAGCCCTCGGCCATTGCTCTATAGCCGAAGGCATCTCACTCGACAAGATATCCGCCTCACATGCGTGCAGATCACCGTACCCTGCACAGACGTCCCATCCAACAGCCGCATTAAATGCGGCCACATGCGGCTGCCAGCGCCAACCAGTTGAGGTGACCCCTCGGCCAATGAGCGTCTGACACGTGTCCCTGCCCGACATTTATTGCTACTATAAATAGCACCCCATTTCCCCATTTGGAACCACGCTGAAAACGGCATTCATACTGAATACACTCTCTCTCTACTTTTACTTACTTGCTCTGACTTCTCTCTAAGTTATTCCCCGTAATAACCCTTCGGATATATACCCCCGGGTAGACTATCCATCAACTATGATTTGTTCTCACGTTAAGACTTGTTCTCATTTCAACCAATATATATATATATATATATATATATATATATATATATAGGTTTTGGTTCAAATAAGAACGAATCTGGACCGTTAGATTTGTTTTAAGTGAAATTCAATGTGCATTAGATGAAACTGTAATGTGCATTAGGTGAAATTCAAATGTGCAACACAAATGGTACGATACAATGACATTATGTGAAACTAAATTGTGCATTAGGTGAAATTGAAATATGCACTAGATGAAACTGAAATTTGAAGAGATCACACGCCTCGATAACCATTTGAAGACCAGAAAGAATGGACATAGGGAAGAGGCGGGGACGTCACAAACTTGAATTTATGCATTAAGAGGTGAACTAGTAAACTAGAGAAGATGATGGTTGACCGAAAAAGTTTTATAAAAAGAAAAAAATGTTTTGTTTCCATAACAGACAAGTAAATTGACGTAAGCAATAAACTTAAACAATTAATACGGAGTATGATATGGAGTACACGCGTTTATTTCTCAAGTCAAATTCTATGCACCTGGAAAGTTCAGATCAATTCCGGGTTTGCAATCTCGAGTGACTGTTTGTTTAGGTTGACCTGAGTTTACCCAAACATTTTCACCCCTGTCAAAGAAGACAGCTACCTACCATTTTACGGATGATGAGTTGACTTCATCGCCATTAATATTAATATGAACTTCATTACAATCCAGCAGCAGTATATTTGTATATGTGTATAGCCTGTCGTCTCCCGATCAGGGCCAGAGCCCTTCTTCTCATCCTCTTCATTCATTCACATCTACTGGAAAAAGTAATTATCAACTGACTGACCAAGATGTGGGCCGATCTTCTTCTACAGGCTGCTCTTATTTTGCTCGCCGTCGCCATGTTTCTCTCTATGCACAACATCCCTCAGACCATCTTCACTAAGCTCCGCACTCGGAGCCAATCGCGCACTATCCAAGCCAGGCGCCACTTCGTATTGGGCGCGCAGCGCCTGGATCGAGCCAGGTCCGGGAAGGAGTTGTCGTCGTCGATGAGAATCTCGCTCGCCAAGTCAGCCGAGGAAGAAGCGGATCGAGCAATCGGACTCGACATCAAGGACGCGGCACCTCACTTGCTCAAGGCCATGGCTCTCGAGGTCCAGGGATTCAAAACCTCTGCTATAGGCGCGATGGATGTCGCGCTGTCTCCGCTGGCGGCGAAATCGCTCAGCGATTCCGAGAGGGCAGAGGCGCTGCACAAGCGGGCGGCGCTGAGGATCGCTACGAGTCTGGACGGGGAACTCGACTCGGCAATTGCGGACCTGGTCGACTCCGTCTGGTTGAAAGGGGATGACGTCAAGGCCAGGTGTCTGTTGGGAGAGTGCTATGAAAAGAAAGGGCTGAAAGTGGAGGCCCAAAAGTGTTACGAGGACGCTCTGAAAGTGCAACCCGATTATTCCCCTGCCCAGGTTGCCCTTTCCCGTTTGGCTGCTTAATTCCAATCAAAGGATGTCCATTCCACTCATTATCATCTCCTCCTTTCTTCTCCCATTTTCAGAGTGTAACTTATGTAGTAGAGCTGAATTTCACCACTCTGGACGTAATTTCACCTTTGTAGCAATAATAATGCTTCTGCTATGTGAGAATCAATAACTGAAACTTTTTGTTGTAATATCTGTGTGGCAGTCTTCTAGATTTTTGTATTGACGTTAGTCACTAGTCACTACTGCAGTGACCAAGTTTCTCAATCAGTGTCACAAATTCTGTATGAAGGATGATGAGTTTAACCATGGTTTTAGAACAACTAAAATCAACTACTGTAGTGCTTGAATATCGATTGCAGCTTGGTTATGCTTTCTTAACAGGGAATTTGTAGTTGATCTAGTAGGGGAACCAGGAAATGTGCATGGCCCAGATTCATCTATTAATGCAAGTGATCTTTGCTCTGTGCCTTCCCCCTTTCAAGTTGCTCATCTCAAGGAATTCCAGCTACCTAACATGGATGGTACTACCAGTTGTCAACTACTGGATTCACATTGTGGACTTCTTGTTGCAGAAAATTTTACGTATTTAGGTATATTCTGTCCAAATCATGAACTTTGCTATCAAGTTCTGCATGAATCAATTTACTTGTCATGGATGTGAAATCCATAAATATATCGTTCAGGAATACAAACATGCAATTTCCTTGGGAGTAAGAACTCACTGAGTGTTAATAACTGTTCTTTGCGTTCTGGGTGCACCATGAAATTTTGTGAAGACAGTATTACTCACTTACTCCATTTTGTATTCAAAGAACATTAAGAAAAGTTCTCAATACTTTGCAAATTCATATTTGGATGTACTCTTGTTCTTTTTTGGATATAGCGCAATCACTAGAGCTACTCATCAAAACTCTCATTCTTTTTGCATCTACAGAAAAAGAAAATCTACCAGTGCATGATATTGTCCTTATGGACAAGCCCAAAAGTTTCTGGTGCAGTCCAAATCAGTTTTCTGAAATCAAATCACCTGAGGTACTTACCACTACAGATGGTGTAATTACAAGAGATGAATATCATAGACCCAGAGATCAAAGTATCATAGTTCTATTCCAGAATAGCATACAAGAGATTGTTCAGCCTAGACCACCTCCATTTGCTGATGGGGCGGATGGGCATCCCAGCATAAGTAAATATGTGGAGAGTGAGCTTACGCTTGAGAATTTGAAGCATTCGGAAGCATCCCTTCCAAAATACCGGAATCTTGAACCATCTCTTGCAATGGATTGGCTCGAGATCTCATGGGATGAGTTACATATCAAGGAGCGTGTTGGGGTGGGTACATTTTCTCTCTTTTCTTTCGACCCCCAACTTGTGCTAATAAACAATTGTCTTCTTAATGGTGTCAGATTGTTGTTTCGTCAGCCTAACACCAGTTAAAATTCCTTGATGCAGGTTCTTTTGGGACTGTACATCGAGCTGAATGGAATGGATCCGTAAGTAATAAACATGTTTTTTTATGAGACCGTGTATTTTCCAAATAGATTTATCAGGCAGCCCGCAACGTGGAGGATAAAAAACTAAATTTGAGGTTTTTACCCATTTTCGAACTGAAGTAATTTTTTAAATACACTCGGGTGCTAAAATTATGATATCATGGTTACTTTACATCTTTCAGTTTTTTTTTTTAAAAATTGGGTTTGAAATAACAACAAAAGAAACTAAATTCCAAGCTTATTTATTTTTACATCGAAATGTTTGACTTTTTGAAATCATAACTACTCTCAAAGAAGATTCGGAAAAAATTGATGTATAATAATATAAATAAAGCTTCAATTAGAAAAAACTTTGTTGGGTGAATACAATGAGGATGCTGGATTGCAGGAAAAATAAAATTGACCGAATGAATACATATCAATCGATGAATAATTTGATTTACAGGGCATGTGGATTGCGGCTAGCCTTAGTCACAACCTACAAGTGTATTTTCCGAATAAATTTATTAGTTACAAGACTTAAATCGCAAATTAAATCTTGTTTTGATTAATTAATTTGTGTTGGAGCGGGTCGGGTGTTTTTTGGTGGATGCAGCTTCTGGTGCCCTTAGCAGGTGTGTACAGGTATGGTGGGAATGAGATCGATGTGAAGTTAGCGCAGGCGGAGGCTGAGATGCTGCACGGTGCGATCAGGAAGAAGGAGTTCGGGCATGAAGAAATTGTGAGGATTCTGAGCACCAGGAGCAAGTCTCAGCTCATTGCCACTTTTAGTCGCTATAAAGATGAGCATGGCTGTTCAATCACCAAGGTAGTATTTACATATACACCTTTTTACATATATAAAATATAAATTAGGTAGATTTTATGGTACCCATAAGGTATCATACTTTTGTCCACCAATAAGAATGTAACAGTTGAATCATTTGAATCATTTACCAAAAATTAGGTAAATTACATATAGAGAAATGGTCCCGGATAGGACTAAAAATAACTTTATGTATCTAAATAAGACTTGAATGTTTTTAATACGTAAGTAGGACCATTTATATGTTTACTCCCTATTTTGCCCTTATAGATAATACTCTGTTTAATCTCTTTCCTTCGGGTTTCGGTTTCATTTTTTCGATTGCTTCCACCGTTCGTCTCTCGCCCTTTCACCAAAATCAGGGAATATGATTCTTCTTTCCTCGATACGTAGTGGCGGAGTTGGGAAGGGCGGTGGCGGCGGAGTTACAAAAGCAACGGCGACACTGCCGACACAGTTGGAAGGGAGACGGCGGCAGATCTGGAGTTTTAATCGCTACAATTTTCTTCTTCTTCCCTTTTCTGGTGTATCTGCCGTCGACTTAGGTTTCTTTTTCATATTTTTGTGATTTCATTTTTCATGCTCTTTCGGTTCTGCTTTTGATGCGCAACCGATTGTTTTTTTTTTATTTTTGTTGATTGTTTTGTTCTCCACTCTGGTTTCATTTTTTGTTAGAGTGGCGAAGAGGTGTTTAGTGTTTACCAAGCCTCAGATGCTTTTACTCCATGAGACTGCTTCTTAATTAAGTAGTAATTGTTTCTACCTCTGATGTATCATGTGTCGGTAGTAATTTAAGAAGACTCGGTGTTTGTTTGCTCCTGCTGCTTACTCTTAAACAGCAGTAGTAATTTACTTTAAGTTATTTTCGTTTGGGTGGTTGTTGTGGAAGAATTGAGCACATTATTGTTTTATTAATACATTATTGTTGATAAATGATTTAAATAAAGTATAACATTTATTTACATTAATGACAATATTTTCAATATAACAACAGAATTCCCAATGTGAAAGTGACTGATACAATTGTGGAATTTGGTGTCATTGACATTGTCATTATTTGACATTGTGACAATTTCCCGACATTTTGATAGTTTTTTTATATTTTCATTTTTTACAATGACATGATAGATGTTATTTGTTTGAAAAAATGGCATAATGATGTTATAGTATCTCAATTTGATTAGTGAAATAATGTCACTTCTCGACAATGTCACCATATTAATATCTCAATGTCACAATGTAATATACAATGTCACAGACTCACAATATTGCAATGTCACAATATCACAATGTCACAATATCACAATGTCATGTTGTTAATAATAAAAATGTTGATCAAATTAAGTCAACATTGGCACATATCTTTATTTTCTTTTTGTCTAGTTGTTTTAGTTTTATTTTACTCAAAGATATTAATTTTTCAAACAATTATAAGATTACATTCTCATATAATGACATTGTAAATCATACATTGTCAAAAATATGTTTTCTGCCCTAAAAAACATTTTTTTTGCTATATATACACTTTCACTTTTGGTAGCATTGATGATGTCTTTGACTATGTCAATTTTATTAAGGGTGAGCATTGACATTTTCGGTATAGTCATTGACATTGTGATTATTACAATGTCATTTTTATAGCATTGATATGATCATGACATTGTCATTGCAATTGTAATTATGATAATGACATTTTTATAGCATTGACATCTTCAAAATTTGACATTGTGACATTATGACATTTCAGTGACATTGACACTTTTATGAATTGTAACATTGTCAATAGCAATTTTATGAGACAATGATTACAGTTTCAATTTAATTAACATAATGACATTTCTATATTAAACAAAACATATTTTTAAAATACGAATGTCAAAATTTTGTTATACATGTATTTTATTGGTATTATTTAATTTCTAACATTACAACATGTAAAAGAAATTATTTTGATGATGACATTGTCATAATTTTTCTTTTGAGAGCATAACTAGTAATACTATTGCAGAAAGTATTGCTTGCTCCATGGATCAATTAATTACCACGTAATGCAATGTGAACATCTCCAAAATATGACAAATCAAACTCATGGTTGTGCGTGCATCTTTAACCCCTCTTCCCCTCAAATTGCATACGGAGTTAACTAGCAGCTAGCAACAACATCTCGTGCACCTCACTCATACACAATCGAGAGTGTGCCGCCGTCTCCTCCCTCTAATCCCCCGGCCCAAGGAACTGTCAATCTAAAGGGAGACCGGAGACGATGGATGACACAAGGCGGAGACAACGGAGGTGGTGTCTCCGTAGATGGTGAAGGTTTACTTGGTTTCCGTTGATCCATTTGGTTCCCCTCTGCGTATATAATGGCAGCTCTATCAGATTGCGGCAAGTTGCGGGGTGCAGAGGTTTTTGAGGGGCAGGGTTATTTTTGTCCGTCGGATAGAAAATGAGTCCTATTTAGAGGTTAAAAAAGTTCGACTCCTATTTACTTTCTCAGCTCATGTTTTGGTCCTATTGAAGTCTTTTCCCCATACATATACACCTTTTTACATATATAAAATATAAATTAACCCAAAAAAAATACATTTAGACTAAGTAGGATCAAATCTGATTTCAACAAGAAAAACAAGACAAAACAAAATATTAGACCACGTTGGGCCAAAGTGTATACTCCTTTATTGGTATACCATTAAATGCATAGATGATACCTTAACTATTGATATTGTTACGTTTTAGTATCACAACTCTTTAATGAATCAAATCAGTATCATAACTATACATAATTGTTTCAACTTACAATTTTATTCAAATTTGTGACAAAAAATCATACTTGACAGTCAGAATTCTATGTGTAAAGTCAACTTCACTTTCCTTTTGTCCATTTCATCATTGTAAGGTGACTCTACACGTGAAATTTTGATTGCCATGTAGGATGTTTTTTGTAACAAATTTGAATAAAACTGTAATTTGAAACATTTATATATAGTTTTGGTATTGATTTGATTCATTTAAGAGTTAAAGTACCCAAACGCAACAATATTAATAGTTAATGTATCAGTTATGCATTTCACCCTCTTTTAACACAATAAAAGATATAGCGTGTTTAGTTGAAATTTTAACCTCCAAAAACTAATTAATAGTCATCACTCATCAAAGAAGTAAAAAGGTCTACCGATACTTAAATGAATAAATTGAGAAACTCAAAAGTCAGTGAAGTTCAATTTGTGAAAATGTGTGTATTTTTTTCAATTAGTCCAAGCAGGAAAATTGTTGTCGATAAGGGATTTTTCATCTTATTGTGGAGTTGTCTCAAAATTATATTCACCCTTTCTTTTTCGTAATCTGCGTGTAGTGAAAGAGTCTTTCACCCCTATATCCTATGAACAATGCAACATTAATTAATTATTCACTATATCAACGACATTTGTAGAAAGTCACCACAAAAACCCAGCCTTATCTAAATATTAAGTCAAACTAGCTAGGAACTTAATACATAATATTATATTTTGTACTAAAATAAAACAAGATCTTTAATTCATTAGCACTCAAATGAAAAGAAGTTCATTAGATTGTAAAAGTTTAGATTAGGAAAGTCATTGGCATTCCTAAATATGACTGATAAAACAAAGTGATTGATAATTCAATTTATAACTCCGGAAACAGTCTCCATGTGCTTTAGTACAGAGGTAAAGACTACGTACATCTGAACGCCCTTACCCCACCGTAGGTGGGAGTCTTTGCGACACTGGGGTAATGATGATGATGATGATGATGAACCTCTAATATGAGCCCGTAACTAAAACTCGTGATGTGGTGAATTGTAGCATTTGAAGGAAGATTCGGCGAACAAATATCAAACGGCTCTGCGTGCAACTATCCGATGCATTACTGATCCACAAAAGTACTATGAGAAGGTAACCGATCAATCAAACAATTAATCTACAAGATAATGTGGAAGCAAGTGATTACATTGTTAGGTAATAATTAGGTGATTCGTCACGCATTGGCCAAATCGGGGACGGATGAGGATGCATTGACGCGGGTGATAGTGACAAGGGCGGAGAAAGATTTGAGGGAGATCAAGGAGCTGTATTTCAAGAGAAACAGTGTCACTCTGGATCAGGCTGTTGCCAAAGAGACTTCTGGCCATTATCAGGCTTTACTCCTCACTCTTCTGATGAAATTGATGAATGAGTGAAGGAATGCTTATGGGTCATTTATATATGTTATGTGTGTGATGCTTTCCGTTTTGAATGAACTTTTCTGGATTTGTCGTTGGTACATTTTCATGTGTCTTCATGCTGTTTGTTTTTCAATTTCGAGTATGTGTTCCATGAGTCTTCAGTTAGTTTTGTGTTTTGAAGTCAAACATTAGATTGGTGTTTGTTTTAATTTGAGGCAAGTTCAAGTCAGGGTAAATGGCAAACAACTAATTAATTGGATGATTTGGATCATTGATAACTTGCAAATGCTGTTTTGTGATAAGTGAGTCATATTTAGGGATGATTCATGCTATGTTCGGCACAACAAGCTGGAATCGGAGGCTAATGTCTGAACTAGGACTCTAGGAGCCATTGTCTGAATCAGATACTATTGTACTATTGTCTGGAACTTGATTTTGAAGTAGTGAATCTGAATGACTAACTGAATGAAGTAAATTTGTTTGGCAAAAAAGCTGAAAAAGTACTTGGATAATATGAAATTACATTAGGGGGGAGAGGGCATATCATTATTAATATAACAAAATATTTTTATAATTATTTTCTTAAAATTATTTTTCATTACGAATATATGTTTGACCGTGTCACATATATTTGTGATGCACTCAGCAAACACAAAACAACTAAAAGCTGTAAAAGTAAAATAAATGAATAAATAAAAAGTGGACATCGAACTTTGCTCACGGCACTGTCGGCACATCGGCACGAGTGGTGGCCAAAATTCAAAATAAAAGATGTTTCTAAAAATGTTTGAGTAATTTATTAGTACAAATATGGGCATAATAGGTAAGTAAAGTCTACAATTATAAAGGCTGAAGTAAACACTTGTGTTCACAAAAGCTAATGTTTTTTCCGTGCAGCCACTATCAGCTTGCTATCCAAACGAGGCTAGAATTATTGTAATTGGCATAAATAGAATATTTCAGCTCAAAATAGGCTGATTTAGGGCATCCGAACACAGCCTCAGTACGACATACTGAATATTTTATCTCATACATTTGCCGTATTGAAATTTTTGATATACTTTTATTACATATTGTTACCATACTGAAATTTCAGTATATCGTATTTCGATAAACTGAAGTTTCGATTTGATAAAAATATACTCCCTCCGTCCCGCTAAAATTGTCTCATTTTACATTTTTTCGGAAAGTCCACTAAGATTGTCTCATACCAAATTTGGTAAAGATTGTGTTGCTTTATTCTTACTTTATCGATTTAATATCTACCACACAAACTCACTTTTCTTAAGAATCATGCCACTTTCTTTTGTCCCAATCTTAATGGGACGGAGGTAGTAATATTTTGTCTCATGATAGTCATCCACGGCGGTCGGCGGGTAAGTCATCCACTTCATATCTTTATGGGGGTTCATATGACATCATCAATGATACAAGTCTTGGATAAGAATTTATAATTCATTTCAATATAAATAAATGGTTATAATATACTACATTCGTTCCAAATTGATTTTCAAATTAGGATGTCAATTTTTAATTATATTTTAAGTTGGAGTTTGCAACTTCAAAGAAATTTTATTGTAGTTTCTCAATATTTAAATTTTAATTATTAAAAAATAAGTTAAATATCAATAGGGAGGATTGTCTTTTATTATTAGTTGACAAAAAAATGTTGACTTTGCAAAACAATTTAGGACGGAGGGAGTATTATTACTGCGTACTACTCAATAGAGTAGAATTGTATCTAAACAGTTCAACGTACCACATATTAAAAATAACACATTCTCCTAAAATAACTTAAACAACATATGTATAAATAAATCAATAGTGGTCTCTAACATAAATAAATCAATAGTGGTCTCTAACGAAAAGTAAAGTAATTCAAGCAATATATATAAAATCATCTATCTCTAAAAAATGTTGTGTTTCTAGTCATTTTTTGATATAACGGTATATCGATATACTTTTTTATTTTCACAGTATATATCGATACCATACCAAATTACTATTAGACTTTTGATTTCCAAAAGTATTACTCCTTTTCATTTTCCAAAAAATGTGATCCTAACTTAATTGGTTATTGGCTTCTACGTACAAAGTATTTAATACTCCGTACCATTTTATCTCTTTCCATTTATCACATCAACCACATTTAATCTCTTTCTATCCAAAAAATTTCAGCCCATTAAATCTATTGCGTTTTCTTGCCGCATCTCTACCTCATCGAATCTCAGCCTCCGCATGTAATGCCCTCTACCACCCACCCAAGCTTCCACCCGTAGCCTTGCAACTGCCCATCCCACTGCGTCTGCCGCACACAAGTCGCCGCCATAACGACTCCTTCATTTTCTTCTCCTTTCTTTTTTCCGCAACTTCGATGCTCACACGATCGTACCCTTCTCGTTCACAATCGGCAACAATGCTCGGACATCTTGATCGAGTTTGGGGCGTATTATTTCCAAATCTGGGGTGATTTGGCGGGTTCAGGGCCGGTCCTGTCTATTTGTGGGCCTATGGGCGAGATATATTATATTGGGCATAATACATAAGATAAACCGTAAACAGTTTAAACCATAAATGTATGAATTATGATACTTCAGTTTAAAACTTTATCGTTTCAGGACCTGAAAGATAGATTAGTTATCACTTCAGGACCTGAAAGATGAAACGTATCGGTATAGGACCTGAATGATGGAAAACTATCAATTTAGGACCTAACGTTCCATAGGTTTATATTTATTTATTTATTTATTGATTGATTCCATTACTAATGTTTGATAAACTTTTTTTCACAAAAGTTTATTAGTTTAGTAAAACTAAATAATATTTAAAATTTTTAAAATAAAAAATAAAATCAAATTTATGACAACTTATGTCCCAAATTAATAGTTTTCAATCAACCAGGTCCTAAATTAATAGTGATGGATAGTGTACCCGAGGGGTAGCTTATCCGAGGGGTTATTGCGGAGAATAACTAGAGAGAAGTCAGAGCAAATAAGTAAGAGAGAGAGAGTATATTAGAAATGTATTCAGCGTTTTTAGCTTGGTTTACAACGGGGAAATGGGGTGCTATTTATAGTAGCAATAAATGCCGGACAGGGACACGTGTCAAGCGTCCACTGGCCGAGAGGTCACCTCAACTGGTTGGCGCTGTCAACCGCATGTGGCCGCATTTAATGCGGCTGTTGGATGGGACGTCGTACTTGGTACGGTGATCCATACGCATGTGGAGCGGATATTATGTCGGAAAAGGCGCCCTCGGCTGTAGATGACTAGTCGAGGGCTCTGAGTACAGGGGGACCCCCTTTTCACCGTTCTTCCCGGTGACTTTGTTTTCCTATTTTGGTCCTTCTATGAGGTTCAGAGCCTTCGACCAGGGGGCCGAAGGCACCCCTGGTGCGCATTGTGGGCTGCTTGGTCCCCTGGGTGCCGTGATTTGGGCCTGTTGTGCTTCCTGGGCCTATTGGGCCTTTATTGGAGTAGTAGGAGTCTGTGGACCGGGGGTTCCCGGGCCATATACTCCATCAGGAGTCCCTCACTCCTTTTGCCGAAAGGTACTTGAGGGAAAAGGAGTAATTGTGTTTGTCCCCTGCCGTTGTTCCGTTGTAGTTCGTAGAGTTGTGGGTAGTTTGCTGTTTGTTTATCCTGCCGAGGGCAGTCCCTCAGTTACCCACATGTCGGGACTTGAGGGGTCATGTTTGTGATTTTTCCCGAGGGGGTTCTCCAGTCCCCCACTCCTTGAGGCACTTGCAAAGTGGTGAAAAGGAGTAGAGTAATCATGTTGCTGTATTGGGCCGAAGGCTGACGCTTTTCGTTTCATTTTGAGGGGATGCCTCGTTAAAAACCTCTTTAGGAAAAACCCTGTGGGAAAAAATCCTAATGAGGGAAAAAGAGTGCACTGAATTCCCCCAACGATGAATCGAAAACGTGAAGCCCTGGTTCGAAATGGAGTATAATGCTGATGCCGAAGGCTATCCTTGTTCTGAGGGCTCATGTGTTGATTAGCCGGAGGCTTGCTGTTGATATCATGGGAGGTGTCGAAGGGGAGTCCCTCAATCTGGGGATCGAGGGCGTAATAAATGTGGGTAGTAGTTGAAGTGTTACCGGGGTGTCCCCTGTTTGTTGATTAGTTGGTGAGGAGGGTATCCGAGGGCTCCCATTACCTGTGTGCCGTAGGCTATCCATCAATGAGGCGTACTCCCCGGGGGCTACCCGGCCCTCAAAGTGCTGAGGGGGGATCCCCGAGGGGTGGGGCTGATATGAAGCCGTGGGCTTCTGAAGGAGTGATCCCGAAGGCATTTGTTATGTAGTGTGTGAGGCACAAACCGGGAGCGTCTCTGGGTAAGTGTACCCGGGGGCTTTTCTTGATGAAGTGGAGTGAAGTAAAAAGCCCAGGGGCTAGTTTCTTGGTTGATGAAGGAGTGGTCTGTCAAGTGTAGCCGGGAGCTCCCAGAATATAGCCGTTGGAAATATAGCCGTTGGAATATCTAACGTCAGAATATAGCCGTTGGGGGGGGGGGGCTGCCACGTGGTGTGTGCTCGTTGGCTGCCCGTGGGCGGGTGTCACCGATTGGGCGAAACCACGGTTTGTAATGATGGCAGTTCAACTGGAGGCCCGGTTTCCAGGCCCAAGCCCGGATCCAGGCGCCTATAAATACCCCATGGCCAGGCCGCTTTACTCTGTGCGATATTATTGTAGCGAAGCTCTGCCCAAATTCCTAGAGAGAGAAACAGCTGCCTTCGGTCTAACTCCCGTTCCAAGGTCAGTTCCTCCTTGTCCTCCACCTCTTTACCTAGCTGTGCTTAGTGGACTTAGGACTTATACTTAGGAATTTTAGTGTAGAGCACTTGGTGTATCCGAGCCCTCGAGCTAGCACAGACGATGTCTTCATAGAGTGACTCCCAAGATATCTCGGGGGAGCCTTCAGTTGAGATGGAGACGTACTCCGACGTCGAGTCTTTGAGCGGGGAGTCTTCGGTGGGTGGTGATGCTGCTGTGGCCATGGAGGTGGAGAAAGACCTCCAGGCCGAAGTCGAAGCCGAAGACTTCGAGCAGGTGAATGAGGACGAAGAGCTCGCCCTTGCCGTGCAGACTGCCGAAGAGGAAGAGGAGAGGGAGAGGATGAAGGTGACGGTTGCTGTCCTTCCCCCTCGTGGTGCTGGTGAGGCAGGGAGCTCTCGACCCCTCAACCCGACGCCGATAAGAGTGGCCCCGGGGAAAAAAACAGGAGAAGAAGAAAACTGCTCCCAAGAAGAAGTGGTGCGTTGTGCCCGACGGGTACTCCTGGC